ACTGACTACTTTATTCGGTTGCACCATTTGTTATAAGGCAGAACACAGCTATAGCTACACTCTCAGAAAAAAAGTTTAAAATGCTGTCACTGGGGCGGTATCTTTTCAAAAGGTACACCTTTGTTCCTTATTTACCCTGTTACGTCTGGAGACGTAGTCTTTATTGTTATGATTTATCAGAAAAGCTGTGTTTTCTTTAGTGTGTCTTTTTTTTCTCCCTCCGTTAACCCTTTGGCTCCTCCTACTCAATCTGTCTGGCAGGTAGCTGATTGCCCCCAGCTGCAGCTGTTTACCAGTTAAGAGTGAGCCAGCATAAAAGCACAGCAGCAACTATCAAAGTGGGAGAAAATGTTTCCCTAAGAGCTACTCTGCTGGACATCGGCCCTCCAGGACCGAGTTTGGGCACCCCTGCTTTAATGAGTCTTCCCCCCCCCCTCCGTTAACCCTTTGGCTCCTCCTACTCAATCTGTCTGGAAGATAGCTGATTGCTCCCAGCTGCAGCTGCTTACCAGTTAAGAGTGAGCCAGCATAAAAGCACAGCAGCAACTACCAGAGTTTGAGAAAAATGTTCCCCCAGGAGCTTTCTCCAGAGCGCTGTGTTTGTCCTGCCCAGCCTGTTGTTTACATACTTGTTTAATATTGTTTGGTTTATTTGGAAGTTGTAGGGAGGTGGGTGCCATTTTTGTTGAACCCTGTTTTCTCCTGTTTTGGGGCCAGGAAGGGAGTTAGGATACAAACCTGTTGTTATTTTTCTTTCTTTTCTTTGTTAGATTAGTTAGAGGCTTAAATGATCTAGTTAGATTGTTTTGTTTATTATTTTGGCCTTACCCTCTCCTGAAATTATTGCTTCCCTTTTTATTTTTTTCTTATTTTTAATACCCTTTTGTATTTGTTCCATGAGCAATCAAATAAAAACCTTTATGGTAATTTGTTACTCGTGATGCTGTGACAGCACTCAGACTAGCTCTTTAAATAATTTGTTGTTTTGTTGCGTCCGCTTATACCCCTAGATTCATGCGGGACGTAACAAATTGGGGGCTCGTCCATTCGTTTAATCATTTCGTGGAACATATTAGTTCGGTCTTTGTTTGATAACCTGACTTTTGTTGTCATAGTTATAAGTTTCTTGGCAGTTTCGAACTTGTGCGGGTGAGGAGCGTGTATGTTATAATTGAATTATGGAATTTGATTTGGTCAAGTTTACTTTGTCTCCGACAGTGGAAGAGTTTGACCGGTGTAGAAAAAAAGATCTGATTGTGATTTGCAGAAGAGTTTTTTTTTAAATATTCCTGTCAACAAGGAGGCAAAGAAACTAAAGGTGCATATTAGTAACTAAATGGTACATTTTAGTACTGAAATAGTGCAATTTGGTACCTTTTGAAAGAGTGCTTTTGTACCTGTTTTTCTGAGAGTGTACCTTGGTGCACAGCAACCAAATTTACGGGAGACTAGGTAGTTGTAATAACACCAATTACACCAATCAGTGTAAGGTAGGAGTCCTATGATCAGTTCATTATTTCCACACTTCCTCCCAGGCTGTACATAGGTACATGCAGATTTTATAAGAAAAAAAAAAAGATATTTTATATAGGTGAGATTATTATTTTTTTTTTACCAAAACTGTATTTTTGTTTAGTACTTAAACGTTTGCATATAAAAGACAGACAGATAGAGGTGAAACTGAGAGTGTTTTAAATAGAGAACTTTTATGTTGTCTATATAAAGGCATCTGGCAGCTCAGAACCAAAGGAAGTGTGGGTTAGATGTGCCATCTGCAGTCTCTGAGCCTGCACTCTAGGGTTAAAAACAATGATTTGTCACCATTGTGACTCTGATTGAGAATATTCACACACTGACACACAATCACTGACGGTGTTTTTTTATTAGACCCACACGGAATTGAGTGTTCGTTGGGCATAAACACTGTTAAGAAAGTTGATTCTAGTAGACTGATTGTGCCAAACTGAAAGTGATTTGAAACTAACCACACACAGGAAACTAACAAAGCAACATCGACAACGCAACGGGAGCAACATGATCGTTTTTAATCTGCAAATAACATTCATTAACTGTTTTTGAAATAAATAAGGATCAACATATAAATATTGATATATGTTAAAAAACATATAGAAATTGCATTTTTAATTATGATTATTGTGATCTATTGTATTGATTATTTTAATATGATTATATGATAATATGAGTTTGCTATGCAAGCAGATTAGTTCTGTTTAGCTCGGGTTCACAATAAAGACAGCTAACTGATGCAGTTCAGTCAAATCTTCTATTTTATTCCAACTATTAGATTATTAACACTGTATAAGTCCCAAATTTGACCAGAAATCTCTGTGCTTACCTGGGTTCGCATTGCTTTGCAGAGAAATGCAAATAAAAAGAGATAGTAAAATTAGCCAAAACATTCTTGTCTATACAGAAAACGTTTTAAACGAGAGCGCATCAACTATTTCAGTCCTTAAATTATTTCATGCGCACGTCCTGAACAGCTCAGCAGTGAAGCGGTTTCTATAGTCTCTGGGTGTTATTAAGTGCATTGCTGCCCCTCACTGGCTGCTGATGAAATTATACTTTCGTTTTCCAGCCGGATACATATAACACTAAACCTCAAATCCTCACTGACAACATCTAAAGTTTATTCTGTAAAAAAAAAAAATCTTTATTTGTTAAAAAAAAAAAAGGTAAACAGAAGATCTGATTGATTGATTTATTATTTTCAATGAGAAAAAAAAAACAAAATAAAAAAAACTTGCTTTCAGATGCTGCACTTTAACATTTTATGGATCCCTCCACAGTAAGAGCTTTACAGCAACCTAATGGTCCAGCATTAATTTTCCACAATATTATTTGCTTCTGGCAAGGAACATTGTGCTACACTCTAAAAAATGCTGGGTTAAAAATGCAAAATGGGTTGTGACAACCCAACTGCTGGGTCAAAACAACCCAAAAGCTGGTCAAAACAACCCAACCGCCGGTCAAAACAACCCAACCACTGGGTCAAAACAACCCAAAAGCTGGTCAAAACAACCCAACTGCTGGTCAAAACAACCCAACCGCCGGGTCAAAACAACCCAATAGCTGGGTTTGTCCCTTTTTTTCCAAATTCCAACAAAACACAATTCCATAAATATATCTTACACAGTTTCACAGTCCTCCTCCCTGAAACAACAACAGAGAATTATACGGCTTGTGATACAAATATAACCTTGATCCTTAAAAACAATCAAGAAACTGTCAAATGTGAAAAGTTTGAAGTAGTGTCATTTTATGGGAGCATAAAGGAACATAATTTACAGGGGAAGTCGTAGCCTAATGGTTAGAGAGTCGGACTCATAACCCAAAGGTTGTGGGTTCGAGTCTCGTACCGGCAGGGATTGTACCCGGGGGGGGGGGTACAGCGCTCTCTCCCACCTTCAATACCACGACAAGGTGCCCTTGAGCAAGGCACCGAATCCCCAACTGCTCCCCGGGCGCCGCAGCAAAAATGGCTGCCCACTGCTCCGGGTGTGTGTTCACGGTTTGTGTGTGTTCACTGCTGTGTGTGTCCACTTTGGATGGGTAAATGCAGAGCACTAATATGGGTCACCATACTTGGCCACATGTCACTTCACTTCACTTCATAATAAACAGGGTCTGTTGTGATTCAGTATTCTGATTCAAGTGACTCACAAACAGCCATTAGAAAACAGCGAAGATATGAAATCTGAAAACAAACTTTTTCCTGAATGTTCACTTTTTTAATGTTTTTCTTTCTTTCGGTTATATGAAATAATATATGATATGTATCAAAGGAACATTTGATTTTATCACTTTGTAAATATTATGTTACTTTTGAATGTTCTCTGAATGTTCTGTAACAAGTGGTGCTCTTCGGTCACTTTTACATTTCAGGGGTCCGGTCACTTTTGACTGTGAAGACCACAAGTGTGGCCCCCAAATGAGGAGCACCAGAGGGGTAAAAAACGTTCCACGAATGATGTATAAATAATGCTAAGATCACATAACTTTAAATTAACATTCTATTAATGTTACTGGACGAACGTTTGTGAGAGAACCTTGCCAGAACATTCAGAGAACGTTCCTTGTTAGCTGGGGATGTAAAGGCCATAAATAGTATTTTAGCTTAGAATACTGTAACATCGTATAGCATTAAGAGTTCTTAATTTGACTTTCCCCTCATATTATTTACTGTTCATGCAATGAGATAAATAATTGCTTTTGTTTTGCAATTTATATTACCTCTTATCAATAACTTCTTAATAACTATTTATTCTTAATAAAGCAGAGCTGACACAGATTAGAAAATGCTGGGGGGAAAAAAACAAGAGTACATTTTTCAGAACACCGCTGGAAAATTAGAATAGAGTGTCAGTGTGAAGCTGTTCTCATCTCAGTCTAGTCTGTATTGAGCTCTTGATCAGACACTTTGGGGATCTGAAGCTGTTCAGTCGCTCCACCGTAATAACGATAACTTCTCATCAGACCTGGGACAGATACAGCAGATCACAGAGAAGAAAAACTTGAGGACATACGGTATGTTTAAGCTGCACTGATGTCACACTTCACATTCGTTTGATAAACATATCTGATCTTAATATCATCAAATGAAATCCAAATATTGAAAAATCTCATCATCAAAATCTCTACCACCACATATTTCTACTGTCATTTTTAGCTCATATATTTCAAAACGAAAATTTACATATGAGATTTAAAGCAACAATGATTGTCAAATGTTTCATTCTCACCATGATGCTTTTTCCTTTTGTTGACGCAGCGACGAATCACAGAAAAGACTGCAACTAGAACTAGAGCTGATATTACTATTCCTACTGTAACAGGCCACAGAGATTCTGTTTCACAGCCAGAGCATCTGCCATCTGCAGAACGATGATTAAAAAAATAAAAACAAAATCAGTATATGGAAACTTGAACTGAAATTGCTTGATCTATTTCAGCATTAGGATTACCTGTTATCAAAAGTGAGAGTGACTTGCAGGATGCAAATTACCCGAGCAAACATTTAAACAAAAAAACAGCCTAATTTTCAGTGAATCAAAGACATGCATTTATTGTTTGGATGAAGCAAGAACATAATGTTAGTTAAATGATAAAGTTGCCAGAAACATACTTTACACCAGTATGAAACACAACTGGCACTTGCATTATTAGCTTGTAAATTAGCGTTGTAAAAAAAAGTAGCATTTTATTTGAAACTTAACATCATCCAATGGTGTGTAATAAAACGTTTGATATAAATAAATATAATTATTAAGAAGAATATACTTAGATGTATGACTTAGAGCAAAGTGGGGAGTTTGTACGAATCAGTGAAGATTCATTAGTTTAGGATTAGCTGTGAAAGTGAAATATATTTTATGGTAATCTTTTCATTGAAGTTTTTTAATATATCTGTAAGACACACATTTTTGCTTTATTAAATTTCTACATATAGGCTACTAATTCTTTTTTTATATTACAATAAACAGACAGAGCATCATTGAGAATAATCAGATCTTACAATGAATGGACAAAAGCATATTTATAATTTAACATTAACCAAAATGAACAAATGTGTGAAAATTATATTCATTAAAGGGGTCCTTTTAATTAAAGTTGATATGATTCTTTAGGGTCTTAATGAAAAGTCTGTAACATAGTTTGGTTAAAATTTCTCAATGGTAGTATAAAAAAACACCTTTTTTACCCTGTCAAAAACAGCTCTTTTCAGATCAAGCCATTTTTGTAGCATTTTCCTTTAAATGTTAATGAGCTCTGCTGACTCCGCCCCTCTCTTCCGAGCTGCTCTCAGAGAGACTGTTTACTTTAGCCGCATTCATCGTGAAACTTGCTAATTAGCACATTATTAGGAAAGGCCATTTGCAAAGATTCATTAAAAAACATATTCACTTCTGTAGATGAAGCTGGATCATGAATGATTCGCGCAAACATAAATGCGTCCATGTAGATCGGGGCCGCATTCCCTTCAGAAACAAATGCAATCCACTGCGTCTTCAGCGGCTCAGATGTCGGGAGTAAATGACGACTGCTGTTCATTATTACATCCAACAACAGAACACCTCAATCGCTTAGGAGTCATTCTCGTCTACATCTGCTCC